CCCCTACAAAACCCCTAACCTTTCCAGCCACGACAGCTCACCTTTTTCTGTCCACCACTTCACCAAAAACCACGATGAAACAAACCTCTCAATCGGCGAGCGATGACTAACCGGTTGCTGGAGATAGAGAGGTTTTGTATAGTTGGAGACACTGGTTGTAGTGTTGGTGTTCAACTAGATTTTGGCTACCGAAATCCCAGCGATCGGAGGGGTCAATGAGTCAGGAAACGGGGGGGTTTTGGAGTATGCAGTATGGGAAAGATGATGGAGGTGACAGATAGTGATGGCAATGGGCCGGGCCGGGACCGGGTACCCCTTGGCCCAGGCCCAGGCCCAAACCCGACCTCATGACATAGGCCCAAGCCCGTTACGGGTATGATAGGCAAAGGCCAAGCCAGGCCCGACGGGTTTTTTATAACCGCAGGCCCGGCCCAAGCCCGCCTTTTTTAATAATGTTTATTTTTAAATATTAATAAATTTCAAATTTTTTATATTTTTAATTTTAGAAATAGTTTTTAAATATTAATTGAAGCTATTTCTGCAAATAATTTAAGCAATAAGTGAGCAATTAAAACTCCATAATATTTGATTATACTAACTTTTCAGTTGTGCATAATATGTTATGGTGAAATCCACTTTTATAAGTTGAACCAAACCCATCTAACTCATTTAAAGGCAATTTTAACATGTTATGATGTTAAACCTTCAATATGGGATGAAAATTGAGGTTAGGGTTTGGGAAAAATGGATATATATATGTAGGATAATATTGTAATTAAATATATAGTATAAGGGTAAATTAGTAAAATTAATACTAAAATTTTCGGGCCGGGCCGGGCCTAAAGATATACCCATGCCCGGCCCGTACCCGAGATCCGGCGTTAAAATCAAGCCCAGGACCAAGCCCAAGCCCGCCAACCTCGGGTAAAGCCCGCCCCTTTCAGGCCGGGCCGGGTTGGGTGCCCGAAAATGTCGGGCCCATTGTCATCTCTAGTGACTGAGGGGTTCAACATCGTTGGAAACAACCCATATTGGGCAAAAACTGAGAAGGTGCACAGTTGTTGAGGGTGTTATTGAAATAAATTTTAAAGTAAACTGGTTAATTATAATTCAATAATTTGGGGGTTAAAAAGTAATTTATTAATTTATTTGTTAAGGGCATTATGGTAATAATACCCTTTACAACCTAAAAATCGCTAATAGTGTTACTTTATGGGTGAGGATTGGGAATAAATGTAACCAAATGTACCAAACATGTCATTTGCTCAACGTAAAAACTCAAACAATACAATAAAATCTTTTTATAGTCATAATGGTAGGATTAATTAATTTTATTACTATGAGTATGTTATAACTTAATGGAGGTGTGGTAACAAAAATTTCTTTATAATTCGTGGCTTGAAACCAGCAAAGATAAATGTCTTTGATGAAATTATAAATGCAATTAGTGCATGGTCAAATTGATGTGAAGCTACAAACTATTGTTAATTGTTTTAATCATTACAAAATTATGCAGTAAATTGATGTGAAACCAAATATTATTGCAAATTATTTTAATCATTACAAAATTATGGAGCAAATTGATGTGAAGCCATATGTTATTGCCAATTGTTTTAATCATTACCAAATTAGGATCCTTACAAATGAAGTGGATGAGGAGAATCGAAGAGTCATTATAGAATTTAGTGATCAGATTCGACAACTTCATTCCACTAATTGAATAGATATTAATGTATTTCTCAATCATCCAAATGAACATTAAGTCATATATGCTTTAACTAAAGAATAAATCATTACTATAATTAGACAAGAAGATAAAGGAAATAATCATAAGGATGATAGTACGGAAATACAAAAAGTTTTGTGCCAAGAAGCTCTAAACATACTTGAGAAACTAGAAATATTTGGCTTCAACAAGAAGATGTTCATGCTAACGAGTAATCTATTCACTAATTAAAAGATATAGTAACAACTTTAAAACATAAATCATTATCTCAAACAATTTTAGATAAATATTTTATTTCATCTTAAACATTTAATGTAATATAGCATATATTTTTTTGCAATATACTGATAAGAGTAATGCTACAGCTACCGATGGTAGTGCACCGAATTTGTGTACTGAATAACGTGACAAAATCCTGACCGTTGATTAATATTAAGTTAAAATTAATCAACGGTTAAAATTTTGTCACGTCATTTGGTGCACAAATTCAGTGCACTACCGTTAGTGGCTGTATTATTTTTCATACTGATAATTATTACTATGTAAAGACAATTTTTCTTAAGACGAGAACTATAAAAATTATAACTTATTATATTACAGATTTATTTTTATTTATAACTATCTTAAATTAGGAATTAAATTTTTTATAACTATATAAAATTTATTACTATAGGTATCACTATAAAAAAGTTATCATCCTTTTTGTGTGATACTGCAAAAACAGAGTTTGCAATTTAATCCCTCATATTTCTTGCTTTATTTTTGGCCCATAGTCAAAATATAAATTAAACTTAAGACACTCAAATAAAACTCCAAACCCAAAGGCAGAACCATTGATACCAATACGCTTGCGCCCCATCACTCTCGCTATTCAGAAGCCAAGCGGCGACCGAAGCAAAGAGCCGAGCCGTTACTTCGCGTATTCGTCGGACATTTTCTCTTCAACAAGCATCCAAGGTAAATCGAATTTCTCTTATCAGATTCATAATTTTTTTCGTTTCATATAGAAACAATTGCGGTTCATTCATTATCTCTTGTATTGTCTTGTTTTTATCAGATCTGTTCTTGTTACCGGTACCTGATACCCTGATCTTTGAATTATTGTAGTAAGCTTGTATTTATTGCAGTTTTCCATTGATATAGAACTCCAGTTTGTCTCGTGTGGATGAATATGAATTGTACAAGGGAATTGATAAAAATGTTGCTGTTCTGGAGTAATTAACGGCGTGGGTCTTTTTTTTATTTTTGGTGAAATTTATATTGATTTTTTCCTAACTGGGTTACGCTGAATGTTTTTCTCTATCTAAAGCATGAAGTTTTTATGATTAAAAAAGTTGGTTTTTAATGGTTTGATTTGTGGGTGTGGTTTTAGGTTTAAGTTGGAGTTTATGGCATCGAAGTTGCAACAGTTGCAATCCAAGGCATGCCAAGCGACGAAGTTTCTGTCGCAGCATGGGAATGCCTATTATAAGCAGTTGTTGGAGCAGAACAAGCAATATGTTCAGGAGCCCCCCACAGTGGAGAAATGTAACTTGTTGGCGAAACAATTGTTTTACACTCGTCTAGCTAGGTACTTTTTTTTTCTATACCTTTGTTTTTATTGCTTTTGATGTAAATTTTATGTGGATCTTGCAGCAGTTTTGATGATCTTGAAATGGTTCATTTGTATGGGCAGCATTCGTATTAGGATATAGCTATATGATTTCCTCTGATTTAATTTTATAAGACTATTTGGTAATATACAGAATGTGATATGCCCAGCTCGTGATTAATTTTAATTTACTTAGTTGATTGGCAATGTTTAGAAGTGATAGCTTGTACAGTTCCTGATTATTTCATACTTATCATGTGGGCTTTTTACTTTTACTTTCATAATAAAATTTCATTCAGAACTCATCTAGGTGTTTAAATATTTTTGTGCATTAATTTTTCATTCTTTGCTTCTAGCTTTTTATTGTGGCACAGAGGTATGTGTATGCATGTGTCATTTTTGCTTAGTTATGTATAGCTTGACTTCATTTTAAAGCTTCAGTCAGCTTGGATTGTGTTACTGTGTTTTGTCAACATATTAAACACCTACCAATTTGTTTCTGTTAGCACATGTTTGCTAAAGTAATGAAGTGGTGTTTAAACCCGGTTGAAGGAATTTATAAAAGGTGTCTTATCAAAACACAGAGAGAGAGAGAGAGAGAGAGAGAGAGAGAGAGAGTAAGTCTGTTTGGACAAGACTTTGAACTTAAGTTCAAGGAAATATGAAGTGAATAGGATTGTAGCTAATTTGCTTGTGGGAAGAGCAAAAGAAGTAAAACATGCATGTAAATCAATTCCAGAACAAAAAGGTTAGTTTCACATATGTGAGGGTTTTTTTTTTTTTTTTTTTTTTCTTCGTGTTTCATGAGAATTGGATGATGATAAGTATGTGATTCTGTTGGTCAATCTGAAATTGTTTTTTATTATGCTATGTAAAACTATTATTGACATTTTGCTTAATAAGATCTTCAGTGTTCTAGGTTTAGAAATTAGCATACCAAGCACAACTGATTATATTGTATCTGTGTTTGAAACTCTGCCTTTTGATTTGCATATATCTCATACATGCTTCCTGGCTCATTTTAACTTGATAGTATTCCTGGACGTCGTGAGGCATTCTGGAAGGAAGTTGATTATATGAAGAATTTATGGAAGAACAGGCAGGATGTGAAGGTTGAGGATGCCGGCATTGCTGCTTTATTTGGACTGGAGTGCTTTGCATGGTTTTGTGCTGGTGAGATTGTTGGAAGGGGATTCACTTTCACTGGTTACTATGTCTGAGGTCAATTAGTTGGTAAAATGTTTTTCAAGGAAAAGAATATGTAAGCTTCGCATACCATTCGTGATTGAATCACTGCTACTCTACATGCAATTTTTGTTGTTTCTTCAAAATTTTTGAAGCTGAGAAATCAGTGGGTAACTTTGGTAGCGTCAATAATTTTGTATTTGAAGTGACTTGCGTTAACAAACCTTGCTGTTGTTTTATCTTCATCAGAAACTGCTACGACTACCCATGATTGATGATAAAGGGTGCAAGTTGTTGAGGAGTTTCCTCTTTCACTCCAATCACTTGACTAATCATCTATTTCTCTTTAATACAATTGGCTTGATCAAAGTCGATGTAGATTTACGTAGCTTATATTATAACATTTTTATTTGAATTTGCCTTCCGCTTCAATGGATGAGAGCTTCAGAGTAACAGAGGACAATCATTGTTCGATTTGTATAAATTCAGGCACAGGAGTTGCAGATACTTCTGCAAAGAAGATGAATAACACTAACATTCTTTCAGGGTCATATTGCTCTGTGATTCTAATTAAGATTAAAGAAAGAATCACTTTAACTCATCTTTGGTTCTGTTAAGAGCCCACTAAGCACGCTATTCATTAAAACTACTGATTGCCTTTCCTATCCTAAATTTGAGGCACTATTCTTTGTGCGCTTTGCCCTCAATTTTGTTTTAAAATTGTAAGACGTGTCATTTCTTGTTCCCTAGTCCAATTCCATCTGGGCCGTCCATAGAGGCTCCGAAACTCCCAATCCAAAGGAAGGGCTCTTTAGTAATTCCATTTCCATCGTTGGCCAATCAGAACAGACGGAATACGGACGCGACGCGAAATCATATGGTATCCGCAGTCGTTTCATATCAGAGAGACTTTGGCACTTGGCTGGAGTAAATTGAGGGACGGAAGAATGCTGCGTGGTGCGGTCCGCCCCGTTCTGACGCGTGTCGTCGCAGTATTCGCTTTCATCTTCATCTTCTCCGTTGTCTTATCCGAGTGTGCCAAAAATGATTCGCAGGTAACTCAAAATTCTCCGTCTTCCAGTTTGGTTGCCAAGAAAACATAGGAAACAAAATAAAGATCAAAATCACATTTGTTGGATCCACAATCTAAATTTGAACTATTGGCTGACAGGTGAAATGCAGCAGAACTTGCGTTGCACAGAATTGTAATTGTAAGCCTTATTTTATTTTCGTTGTAATTGTTTATGTATTTGTGGCTAATATTTTCTAATACATCTTTTTCCCATAAATTATAGCGGTTGGGATTCGGTACGGGAAGTACTGTGGTGTAGGGTGGACGGGGTGTCCTGGAGAGAAACCATGTGACGATCTGGATGCTTGTTGCAAGATCCACGATGAGTGCGTCGAGAAAAAAGGTACTATTACATCTACATGCATAGGCTATTAAGCAATTCGTGATCATGGTCTTGTGTGGCTTTAATGAGCCTCTAAATCAGTTAAGTGCTTCCTTTCAATTAATATGTATTGTCTTCAGCTGTTTTCAGGATAGGGACTAGTGATTTCAAATTGGGCTGGTTAATTATATTCTGCAATAATTTTTTTTTTTTTTTTTATATAGCTTCTAGATGTGAAAAACAAATTAAATTGCGTTTGATGATGTTGATTCACAGCTGTCGAAACTGACCAACAAAACAGCATTGGACTTTCATTTCAGAAGTTCTTTGGATCATTTTGTTTTTTCTACTCTTAAGCCAAAAGTATATAGATAAAACTTGGCAGTTGTCAGTTATGCAAATAA